GCTAAACGTCGCATATCACTCACCTGGCAAAACACTGCGGTCACTCCTAAAACTTCCCCCCTTCCTAAACAATAAATGCCAATATTGCCATATCATTTTTGATTGGTCAACATGGTACATTTTTCGACCAATAGGAAAGGGTGGCTTTTTTTTGTTTTTGTTTTTGCTCACAGGCTTTCGAGCATTTTCCTTATAAAATCCGTTTTTACAGTTTCTTCCCGCAGTAAATATAAACAACAATAGTATTCAGGAACAAAACCAAACATTGCATATCTTTTTATCATAACTCTGGTTTTACGTGGCCTATCAACACAATTTAAAAACTGGTAAAAAGGCCACACTTTTTCCGTCAATTGTTTCATCTGTCCTGCTCACATCTCCAATGGTTGTACACGTTGTCATTAACGTGGCTTCACTCCATATCAGCCACGCCGCTTTGCTAGCTATAACACCGGTGTCGGCACATAAGGACGCTGTCATAGTCTGTCAACCACATTGATTAGCTGCGAATGTAAATCGCATTATTGGCTGGACTATGGGATATGGTGGCATCGTTCTAATCCCATACGGGAGCAGCCAGGCACTTACTGACTAACTGCAAAACAGAATTGTTAAAGTTTTAATTTTAATTTCAATTCAGGTTAGATTTTTTTTGTGCGCAACACAAATTTTCTGTGTGCAGAGACCGTGCCAGCAGTGCGCAATTGTGCATGTGCGCAGCTTAGAGGGAACATTGGTGCACTCAGGCCTTTAGGTGGAGCATAAAAATCTGTGGGAAATTGTGTCTCAAAACTAGGGGTGGGAATTTAAACATGTAAAATAATTTATTAATATAATTTAAATAAAAAATAACGCATTTCAATGCACAATTTCCTGGAATACCGACTACACTGCTGCACACATCAGATGTACAAAAAGGGAGAAGAAGAACGTGCATTGTTAGGACTGATCGGAGGCAAATTTCACTTCAAAAGACTAACGAACAGAAGCCTTGATAAAAGCATGGTTTTATGCAAGCTGTCCAAAAAGGAGTTTCCGTACCACCGAAGCACCTCAACCTTACGGTACCATCCAAATGCAAAACATGTTGCAGGA